AAGGGGCAACCTTTCTATGTAAACTTTGCTATTCACTTCTGTGAGAGCTTTTGACGTAAATGTACTTTTTAATTTTAAACTGAACAAGTTACAAGTTTAGGACAAGTTTACACTGAATATCTTGCCATCATGCAGTCGGCAAAGCTGGTTTCCCCGACCGATGCACGGTATCGTTAACCACAGTTGCATGACGTCTCGACAAAGTCGGCGATTTTTATTCCCTTTATTACGACTTTGCTCGAGGCGTACCGTTCGATAAATAAACTAAAAAAATTCATTCTGCAACTATTACAAGCCGCACAATTTCTTTGTTTTTTGTCTGGCACTTTCAATTATTAAACAATAATGACCGCATGAGAAATTAAACCATGCGTAAAAGCATTGTCTGTTAAATCAATTTAATCAATTTTAGAATAAATAAAAAGAGACGTCAGCAGGCACTGTCGGCTTTTAATGAACTTTTTCAAAAGTAGTTGTGCGCCTCACAGAAGAGTCATCAGGTTGAAGATTGAGTCCATGGCTACTGGAAAAGACGCTTGTTACAAACGGCCAGGTTGTATGTTATGATATCGATTGTTATCGATTAATCTGTAATTAGTGTTATGAGGTACTAACGGATGCCTCCCGTGACTCTAAAAGGCGTACATACATGTTCTGCGGCATGTTTTAAGGAACCTAGAATGATTATATAACTCACGTCATACGAACAACGTAACAAAGAATCAGTTTTTGATATTCAAGAGTCACTTCATCGTATCAAACTGATTCATCTTCACTCTTAGATAACGACTTGGGGAAAATACCATACCCGTATATTTGTAAAATTGGCAGTTAAAAGAGTTTGGCTTAGCACACATGAACAACATTGTTCACAATTTGCCAAAAACAACAGTAATTGCTAAGATAATGGAACTCAGTGTTCTAAGTAGCCTTAGTAAGACTGCTTAATTTGTTTTCAAACGCGACCACCGCGAACACATGGAGGTTTACTACTTAAAGGTCATATTCTGTGTAGATAAAAAGCGAAGCGTCCGATACGAAATATCAAGTTTCTATGTCAATCTTCACTGGGTCAGTATAAAGACAAAATAAGTTCGATGAACAGCTGATTGTTTGGCGATTATCGAATCGGTTAGAGCTAAGTACAGATGGCCATAGTTTCGACACCCTATGTGATTGCATTTTAAGTACAGATTTTAAGTAAATTTAGGATTATCTTTGCGTAAATCATGAATCAAAAACAAAACAAAATGTAGTTGGGATGAAAATAATTAAGTTTTGACCGCAATAACTCCTTTGTCTTGTTATCACCAAACTGGAAAACTTTGCTTGCTGCAGCGGAGCTTGTTAGATTCTTGATAAGTTCTTGGCTGTGGTAACTGTTCTGACTCGTCAAATTACTCAGTATATATAAACTGGAAAACTACATTTGCTGCGCGCGGTGGAGCTCGTTAGATTCTTGTGGGTTTTGGGATCTGTAAAAATAGGAAAGTCTAACGAGACGGAAGAGAATAAACACAAACCGCCCCTAGTTTAAAGTATGATACAATCGGAGCTTAATTTTATGACACAGAGTAATGAATTTACCCATCAATTGGAGAGCAAGCTGTAATGAACAGCTTACAAAGCACTCCCTCTCTTTTTTTCGCTCTGCCCTTCTATCGTACCAATTACTTACTAAACCTAAACACCTTGAAAATGGTAACGGAAACCTTACATGAAGGCGAGTATCAACAAACGTTACCAGCTGTAGTGTCTTATATTGCATTACGAGTATGCGCACTGGTTATTATTACGAGCAGGATTAGAGAAGTAGAAGTTTCCATTAAAAGAGTTCAGAATTATAATCGAGGATTCCATAACTGGCGACGAGGATATCCCAAACGAGCTCACCTACAACTACAACTCAATTTACAGTCATTTCGAAACAACTACATCGGATAAACAATGGAAAAAACAACATTCTTCTCACCACCACGTGCGCTGGCCGCCATCTTGAAACTGTTTTGAGGTGAAAATCCAGACTTCTCGACTCAGTTGAACAATAATATACACTCGCCACAGAAGATTCCCCGGAAAATTGCATCACAAGATTACACCGAACGATTACACAACTGCTGAAGCGAAATGGCGAATATTTTACCTCCATTTCCTCCATTCTCCGTACATGAAGACGACGCTTCAGTCGGTCCGCGTTGGAAAAAATGGTTGAAGCGTTTTGAAATGTATCTCGCTGCTCATGAGGTGAAAGATCCGACACGCAAGAGAGCGCTGCTACTATACTCCGCTGGTGAGGAAGTCGCTGACATTTTCGAAACACTTCCAGACCAGGGCGAAGAGAAAGAATACGACAAAGCCGTAACCGCTTTGAATGCTTACTTCCAGCCCAAAGTAAACAAGACGTACGAAATTTACATGTTCAGAAATGCTACCCAGAATCCTGGTGAACTGCTAGATTCCTACTGCACACGGCTCAGACGCCTGGCTCAAACCTGTGAGTTTGCCAGTGAAGACGAAGAAATCAAATCACACATAGTCGTCTCTTGTTCATCTTCACGACTGCGGCGAAGAGCTCTACGAGAAGACATGAATCTCAAAGACTTACTTGCCTATGGCCGGGGTCTAGAAATGTCTGACAAGCAAGCGAAAGGTATTGAGGAGCACGAAAAGTTAGCCAAAGTATCGCCAGTCCAGACAGAAAAGCGAACGTCCGAAAACAAGAAATGCTACAGATGTGGCGAACACTACCCTCATAAAGGGCGACCTTGTCCAGCCCTGAAAGAAACGTGCAAGCACTGTCACAAAAAGGGTCATTTCGCTACAGTGTGCAGAAGTAGATTAACTGCCAAGAAAGTCAACACTGTGGGTGAAGGAGATAGTGATGAGTCCACTGATGAAGAATACACCTACCGTATCACTCTCCACTCCGTGCGTGACAAGGCACAACCATTAACTGAAGTTATCATTGGAGAAAAGACAGTTAAATGTCTTATCGACTCAGGAGCGGGAGTGAATGTTATTGACACGTATACTTTCAATCAGATGGAGAATATTCACATTTCACCTACTTTAAAGAAGATCTATGGCTACAGATCTTCCGAGCCTTTGCCAGTCGTTGGGACGTTCGAAGCCAACATCAAGTCGGGAGTGACCAACAAATTCAAGGTCGCACAATTCTGTGTCGTTGACGGACAGGATGGAAACCTGATAGGCTATGAGACGGCAACTGATCTCGGACTGCTGCGCATAGTAAACAGTGTATCAACACCCCAGGTAGATGACGTCGTGGGGGAATACAAAGATTGCTTTGAGGGGCTGGGGAAGATGAAAGATAAAGCTGCGAAATTACATGTCAATAGTAGTGCAAGACCACTTGCTCAGAAGTTCCGTAGATTACCATTTCACGTTCGCGAACAAGTCGAGGCTGAGCTCAAGAATCTAGAGGAACTTGACATAATAGAACGAGCTGAAGGACCGACTCCCTGGGTGTCCCCGATAGTGGTAGTTCCAAAGAAGACAGGAATACGCATATGCGTCGATATGAGAGCGGCCAATCAGGCTATAGAACGGGAACGACACCCAGTACCTACTGTAGAAGACCTGATCGTTGATCTGAATGGATCCACTGTGTTCAGCAAGATAGACTTAAACCAAGGCTATCACCAACTTGAGCTGGAAGAAAATTCTCGAGGCATTACTACTTTTGCCACGCACATTGGTTTATTTCGATACAAGCGACTCACCTTTGGAGTCAACTCAGCAGCTGAAATATTTCAGAAGTCTATAGAAGAGGTATTACAGGGAGTTGAAGGTGCAAGAAACATATCTGACGACATAATAGTGTTTGGCAAGAACCAAGTTGATCATGACGAGGCTCTACGAGCTGTTCTTCAGAGAATGAGAGAGAACAATCTAACTGCGAACCCTGACAAGTGTCTGTTCAACCAATCATCCATTGACTTCTTTGGCCATCACTTCTCTGCAGACGGCATCAGTGCAGACGACAAGAAAATTTCATCCCTCATCAATGCCAGTGCTCCCAAGAATGCAACTGAGGCACGCAGTTTTCTTGGTTTGGCCCAGTACCTTGCACGCTTTATCAAGGACTTTGCATCCATTTCCGCTCCAATCCGTCAACTCACACACAAAAATGCCAAATGGGTGTGGGGCCCAGAAGAACAACATGCATTTGTTTGTCTTAAGGTTCGCATGGCAACTCCAGAAGTCATGAAGTACTTCAACCCCTCGTTGGAAACAGAGCTGATCGTTGATGCCAGCCCTGTTGGACTGGGAGCAATTCTCACACAATTAACAGCAGATGGAGGAATGAACATTATAGCTTATGCAAGTCGCTCACTCACTGATTGCGAAAGCCGTTACAGTCAAACCGAAAGAGAGGCCCTTGCAGTGATCTGGGGAGTTGAACACTTTCACCTATACCTGTATGGATCATCTTTTCGCGTCATCACAGATCACAAGCCATTAGAAACAATTTTCAACAACCCCACCTGCAAGGCAACTGCGAGACTTGAAAGACTACAGCTGCACCTACAGCCATATGAAACTGCAGTTGTTTACAAGCCAGGAGCAGACAACCCAGCCGATTACATGAGTCGTCATCCTGATCCCAAGCAGTCACAGACCCCCCGTCATTTATCGAGAGTTGATGCCTATGTCAACTTTGTGATCACTAATGCTATGCCATCTGCCGTTACCCTTCAAGAGATCAAAGATGCGACAGCAACAGATGAAACATTGCAGAACCTGGCAAGGGTGATAACAACTCAAAAGTGGCACGAAGTCGGAAAGGATGTCGGTCAATACCAACAGATCAAACAGGAGCTGTCAGTATCAAATGGTGTAATTCTGAGAGGAACCCGCATAATAGTTCCTGGAAGACTACGACAGCGAGTGATTATGTTAGCCCACAGTGACATCAAGGCATCGTCAAGACGAAGCGTTTTCTGCGAGATTCAGTCTGGTTTCCAGGGATAGATAAAATGGTTGAAGAAATGGTAAGAGAGTGTCTACCATGTCAAGCTGCAAACCATGATGCAAAGCCGGTTCCTGAGCCTCTACAAATGTCCCCACTACCACAAGGTCCGTGGCAAGAGCTATCCATGGATTTCTGTGGTCCTTTTCCAAATGGAGACTACTTGTTAGTCGTGACTGATGACTTCAGCAGATTTCCAGAAGTTGAGATCCTGAGGTCAACATCAGCAAAAGCAGTAATTCCACACCTTGACAGTATCTTTGCTAGACAAGGAATTCCCAACATAGTAAGAACTGACAATGGTCCACCTTTTAACAGCGAAGATTTCCAAAAGTTTGCCACTCACTTTGGTTTCACTCATCGCAGAATAACTCCTATGTGGCCCAGAGCAAATGGGGAGGCGGAGAGACTGATGAGAACACTAGAGAAGGCAATTAGGACAGCCGTCATAGAAGGCAAGAGCTGTTCACCTTTCTTCGGCAGTACAGGGCAACCCCCCACAGCACCACAGGAAAGTCTCCATCTGAATTGTTGAATGGACGAAAACTCAAGTCCACACTACCTCAGATACAACACGATCTGGCACCTCAAGAGGTTAGACAAACCGATGCCAAGAGAAAGACAGAGATGAAAGAATATGCGGATAGGTGCAGCCATGCCAAAAACACAGACCTAAGCGTTGGTGACAAAGTATTGCTAAAACAACCCAAGCAGAACAAGATGTCCACACCATTTAAACCTGAGCCACTTGAGATAAAAGACAAGAAAGGAAGCATGATTACGGCCCAAAACGCAGAACGCACTGTAACCAGAAATGCGTCATTCTTCAAAAAGCTGCCTTCCAGCGTACCAGTACAACTCACTCCAAGTGACGAGGTAGAAAAATTTACACCCAGCATTGAGATAGCTGAAGCAGCTGATGTAGCTGAAGGATATCATGAAGCAGATGAAGCAGTTGAGGATGAACCAGAAGCACCACCTGCACTTCGCAGATCGGAAAGAACAAGAAGGGTGCCTGAACATTTCAAGGACTATGTGACTTGAACATTTGCCTGGAACATTTCAAGAACTATGTAACTTGAACATTATTTGGACAGATAGTCTAAGGAAACGATATGTTGAGTTTTGTTTTTGTTCATAGTGACATTTTCATGGTGACATTTACCCTTCTCATTCTTAGAGGAAGGGAGAGATGTAGTGTCTTATATTGCATTACGAGTATGCGCACTGGTTATTATTACGAGCAGGATTAGAGAAGTAGAAGTTTCCATTAAAAGAGTTCAGAATTATAATCGAGGATTCCATACCAGCGTATTAGGTGGATCTGCATTCTCTTTAAACAGTTTTTTGCGCGCAAGGTGATAACTTTCCTTCGTCCCAAGCTCCTATACTCCTATTTAACATGCGATAAATCCAATAACTGTTTAAATACGCTCCTATATTGAATATACTCCTCCAAGCTTTGATGACCTTGCCATTTACGTCAACCCGACAAAGCCGTACTTTGAATGGGTCTATATATTCCCTAATTCATCAGCGATATTTTTGCGTCAGTCAAATGCCTTGTCTTCTGGAAAGATCGATTGTATTCATACATAGTTTATATTTGTGGATAGTTCAATAAGTTTCGCAGCTCTTCAGAAGTTGTAAAGTGACCAACATGGTTGGCAGTCACGAAAAATCAAACGACTTAAAAGAAAATTGAAAAGATTGTTTGTTTGACAAAGGTTTCACCGTGGTTACATGCTAACTGAGAGATGATATAAAAGCATCTACAACAGAGGTAGAGTTCACTGGTAGGAACAATCTGATGTCAAATAAGAAGACATTTAGCCTTGTGGACTCTGGATGGATAAGACCAGGGCAAACCCTGACTGGGTCTTTGTGTGGTGTTTGTTGATGTTATATTTGCCTTTATAACACCTCTTTCCACCCAGGGGATTAAACGAGTACTGACAAACTGTCATGGAAACCCAAAAGAAAGGTGAAGGGCTACCTTAAACCTTCACACCTTTTACATTGATATTCATTTTCTCCACACTGTCTTCTTCACATTTCCTATTGTCTTCACAAGGAGAATTTGTTTGACAATCAAGAGCTTCCTTGATTGGTCATCGTTAATTTTCTTATGAGCTTTACATATGATTCAAGTGTGATACTTGAAGGAGAAATTAGAAGCCAGTTACTCCTAGAGACTAGTATCTTATCCAAAGGGCAGTGGTAATACTCATAGCTGGTCAGGTAATGCTACAGAAAGCAGTTAACCCTTTAAGATCTGATTGTGAATTCTCCCCTCTAGCTGCTACACATTTGCCTGCAAAGTAGTTATGAGAATTCAGTGTTAGATCAAATGACAACTTCTTCCTGCCAAGTTTGAGTATTCTCATTATCTGTTTGCTGGATAATGTATGGATATTATTGGGAGAAATTGCGTATTGATCACTGCTGGGAGTTAAAAGGTTAAAGCTCAACCTGTACTAATGTATGACCAGGCTTAGATTTAACAAAGGCAGACTGGAACTAAGTGGTTTTTTGTTTTTTGTTTCAATAGGTTCGTGAATATGAGCTTTCAAAGGATAACTTCTCTAAAACTGGAAACTTTGGTTTTGGAATCCAAGAACATATTGATCTTGGAATTAAATATGACCCCAGTATTGGGATTTATGGCATGGATTTCTATGTAGTGCTGGGACATCCTGGTTTCAGTGTTGCTGAACGAAAAAGGAAGCAATCCAGAATTGGGTACAAGCATCTGATATCAAAGGATGAATCCATGAAGTGGTTCCAACAGAAGGTAACGCCTGGAAACCCTTATACTTTAACGTCACTAAGCATATTCTTCACTCTTTTCTCTACACATTGCCTTTGGTATTGAAAAGGAGAATTTGTCAAAGAATCAAGTGTCTCATTAGTTTGTGATCATTTCCTTTATTGTCATGATTTTATGTTTGATACAGAGGTGATACTGTCAAGAGAGAGAAGGCAGGCCCCCTATTAAAACCGGCTTAAAGCTGAACTGGGCCAGGCTGTTAACCCTTTAACTTTGGGGAGCTGAGCCAAATTGGCAACAGTTGGAAAATACTCATACAGCTGTGACTCTTATTATTACTGCTTTTCAGTGGCTGACTTTCCAAATGTGGTTTACTCTCTTTTGCTAACAGACTGATACAGATTTTTATAACTAGCAGCACTCTTCAAATGACTTCTTCACTGCATTAATACATCCAAAGAACTGGACAAAATGAACAGACTGAAAATAATCAAGACTCGAATCTTGCAGTAAATGACCTCACAGCAAAACTAATCGATCAGTTTTTGCAATCACAATGTGTAATGTTTGACTGATAAACAACTTCACCTTGTCTCTGATGAGCTATTGATTAATCTAATGCACACAGTCAAAACTTAAGTGACTATCATAAATTTCAGTCCTTTTTAGGACTTCCCCACCCCTGGACAATTTACAAGATCATTTGTTACCACCATCCCTCCCCTCTCTCGCCAGCTCCACACAGCTTATTTTGTTATACCTCTATGTTAATATTGGTTTGTTTTGTTTTGTTTTTTTAGTATGACGGTATATTGTTGCCATCAAAGAAGAAGAAGTGATGTAGTGGTTTCCTTTTTTTTGTAAATTCTTTGCCTTCAAATCTGCCCAATTAAATGCTGGATGAATTATGTCTGTTGTTTTGATTTTTACAGAACTTGATAAGTTGATGTTCTCAAAGACAAAAGTGTAATTGTATGCCAACATACTCAATCATGTTAGGTATTGATAGAATTGTGAATTATGTTTCATTCAATCTTGAGATCAAGAGTTGGTGTATCCAAGGGTTTGCATTCATCAAGACATTAAGCATACAGGAAGTTTGAGGAGTACAAAAGATTCTCAAGAGGTACTCAAAATATCACTAAAAGAAGCCTCTTCAGCACTCATCAAACTCCTGAAGGGCTTCACATCTGGATGAAAAAACAGTTGACACATAAACCTATTTTTTAAAACATTTTCTCAAGAGGAAGTTAAAGTTTTACTTGAAAGAAAACTTCATCTGCCATGCTCCAGTGCTTACAACTCATCAACATGCACGGTGGAATATGAAACATATTTACAGAATTGAATTTGATAGCACAAATTTACTAGCTATGGGATGAAAGGTGCTAAAAATACACACATTTTAGAAGACAGAACATATTATTTTTATGTTAGAGTGAATATCATGCCTGAACAGTTCATGCCTGAACAAAAGTTCAAATGACGGATGTTTCCACTCAGTATTCAATTCATATTAATACCCTAGCTTTTCAACCAATGTTTTAGAAAAAGGAATACTTCAACTTGGATTTGCAATTAAAATCTTAAAATTTACAACACCAAATAAACAAGCAAAGACGTCCAAATAAAAGTTTGGACGGTTTATCTTTACAGACAAACTCCATTATTATACACTAGACTTACAATGAAACCTCTGATAAGAGAGATAAGAGAGTATTCAGTCAACATACAATGGAGTGTGAAGTTGACATGATAACCCATTATAATAATCCAATATCAGCTACAGATATCGAGTTCAAAGGCTGCCAAGTTTCCAAGCCTCTCGCTCGTGTAGTGCTGTTCTTAAACTTTTGCAAACTCTAAGAGAGTGTCTTCTTTTGCAGATTGTGTAAAAAATGTATAATTAAAACAATTATTGAATTCGGTCTTCGCATGATATCAAACCTCGCGATTGTGTTATCTGCCTCGGCAAATAACGACGACTTCGGCATTGATTATTCATGAAATTCTCAGCCTCCACTAGTGGTTAGCAATAGACGGCTTTTCATCGAGGAAGCCCTCATTTAAGATCACCGTTTGCCAAAATATTTCCTCATCGGTGTGGCTCAGGGAAGCTGATTTAAGCCCTACGAATAAAGGTAATAACTTTCTAAATGAACTCTAGTGCTGCGTCGGTGAGGGGTAGAACAAGATAATTTAGTTTTTTCCACTAAGTTGATAAAGTAAATTGGCCACCATAAAAAGTTTCTACAGCTGACGTTAGAGCTTCGTCAGAGCGAATGATAGAACCAAATTATCTGATTTAGCCGGGCCCGGCCAGTTGTATCTCATCCAGATATGTTTATAGAGAAGTCTGACCAAAGCAACAGCGTAATTCCGAGACTGATATACATATCATGATTACATTCTTGGCGATCGGCGTCGTTTCTCTCCAACCATAATCAACAAAAACCACCGCTCGAATTATCAAAGTTGCCAGGCTAACGAGAATCAACACGATAAGTCGATAAACCTTCGCTCCGTTCTCGCTTCCGGGTGAGTGATGCGCTAGTTCTAGAAACTCCCACGCTGCAAGCAACAGACATCCAAAAGCAAGGGTAATCATGCCCACTCCAAGTCCTGTAGGTGTCCCATTGCCATAACCGTTCAAAACATTGTCTATCATATCGATGGCGTCGAATATTTGTGCAGACATTGTAGCAAACAACCATCTAGATTCTCCGTGAAATTCGGTGCCTTCTTCGCCAGCAGTGTTCAAAAAGAGCAGCAAAATAAATGGTGTGATATAAAGAACTTTGACAAAAGTCGTTGGCCAAAATGGAATATATTGCTCTGCATCTACGACTAGTAGATACGGTTTAAGTACTACGATAATGTCCACTATTAAAAGACCAGTATACCCAAACCAAGTGTAAGAGTAATAATGTCGTTTCCCAAGTGTCCACGCTTCGCCAAATGATATCATCCCGACAATATGTAGTGTAAAGGTCGACAAGATCAACAAGATTCCTACCGTGAAAGTCCAGTGACCCAATACAATACAAGAGACTACATTTAAGCAGATGAAAATCAACTTTAGACACAGAAGGAGAATAAGCGCGAAGCGCCCTAACCGTAACACATCGTGTGAGAGCGCCATTCTCGTTCTATTGAACTAAGGGTCAGTTTACATGGTAAATTTTGCTATTCACCCCTGTGACACCTTTTGACGTAAACGTATTTTTAATTTTAAACTGTACAAGTTACAAGTTTAGGACAGTCTACAAATATCTTGCCATCATGCAGTCGGCAAAGCTGGTTTCCCTGACTAATGCACGGTATCGTTAACCACAAGTGCATGACGTCTCGACAAAGTCGGCGATTTTTATTCACCTTATTACGACTTTGCTCGAGGCGTACCGCTCGATAAATGAACTAAAAAATTCATACTGCGATTATTACAAGCTTGACAATTTCTTTGTTTTTTGTTTGGCACTTTCAATAATGACCGCATGAGAAATTAAACAATGCGTAAAAACATTGTCTGTTAAATCAATTTAATCAATTTTAGAATAAATAAAAAGAGATGTCAGCAGGCACTGTCGGCTTTTAATGAACTTTTTCAAAAGAAGTTGTGCGCTTCACAGAAGAGTCATTGGGTTGAAGATTGAATCCATGGCTACTAGAAAAGACGCTTGTTATAAACGGCCAGGTTGTATGTTATGATATCGATTGTTATCGATTAATCTGTAATTAGTGTTATGAGGTACTAACGGATGCCTCCCTTGACTCTAAAAGGCGTACATACATGTTCTGCGGCATGTTTTAAGGAACCTAGAATGATTATATAACTCACGTCATGCGAACAATGTAACAAAGAATCAGTTTTTGATATTCAAGAGTCACTTCATCGTATCAAACTGATTCACCTTCACTATTAGATAACGACTTGGGGAAAATACCATACCCGTATAATTGTAAAATTTGCAGTTAAGAGAGTTTGGCTTAGCACACATGAACAACAATGTTCACAATTTGCCAAAAACAACAGTAATTGCTAAGATAATGGAACTCATGAATGAAAGTGATCTTCGCAGTGATGTGCACTACTTAGGCAGTAGTGAAAATAAGGCCTGAAAAAAATTCAGGCCTGTACGGGATTTGAACCCATGACCTCTGCGATACCAGTGCAGCGCTCTACCAACTGAGCTAACAAGCCAACTGGGAATTTGCCATTACGTTGGCTCGCAATAAACCCGTGAAGCTGAATTTTTTTCAGGCCTTATTTTCACTACTGCCTAAGTAGTGCACATCACTGCGAAGATCACTTTCATTCATGTCTTTATCCGCAGTTCAAATATATGACCTTCATATATTCTTAACCGTCTATAATGGAACTCAGTGTTCTAAGTAGCCTTAGTAAAACTGCTTAATTTGTTTTCAAACGCGACCACCACGAACACATAGAGGTTTACTACTTAAAGGTCATATTCTGTGTAGATAAAAAGCGAAGTGTCCGATACGAAATATCAAGTTTCTATGTCAATCTTCACGGGATCAGTATAAAGACAAAATAAGTTCGATGAACAGCTGATTGTTTGGCGATTATCGAATCGCTTAGAGCTAAGTACAGATGGCCATAGTTTCGACACCCTATGTGATTGCATTTTAAGTACAGATTTTAAGTAAATTTAGGATTATCTTTGCGTAAATCATGAATCAAAAACAAAACAAAATGTAGTTGTGATGAAAATTATTAAGTTTTGACCGCAATACTCCTTTGTCTTGTTATCACCAAACTGGAAAACTTTGCTTGCTGCAGCGGAGCTTGTTAGATTCTTGATAAGTTCTTGGCTGTGGTAACTGTTCTGACTCGTCAAATTACTCAGTATATATAAACTGGAAAACTACATTTGCTGCGCGCGGTGGAGCTCGTTAGATTCTTGTGGGTTTTGGGATCTGTAAAAATAGGAAAGTCTAACGAGACGGAAGAGAATAAACACAAACCGCCCCTAGTTTAAAGTATGATACAATCGGAGCTTAATTTTATGACACAGAGTAATGAATTTACCCATCAATTGGAGAGCAAGCTGCAATTGACAGCTTACAAAGCACTCCCTCTCTTTTTTTCGCTCTGCCCTTCTATCGTACCCGTTACTTACTAAACCTAAACGCCTTGAAAATGGTAACGGAAACCTTGCATGAAGGCGAGTATCAACAAACGTTACCAGCGTATTAGGTGGATCTGCGTTCTCTTTAAACAGTTTTTTGCGCGCAAGGTGATAACTTTCCTTCGTCCCAAGCTCCTATACTCCTATTTAACATGCGATAAATCCAATAACTGTTTAAATACGCTCCTATATTGAATATACCCCTCCAAGCTTTGATGACCTTGCCATTTACGTCAACCCGACAAAGCCGTACCTTGAATGGGTCTATATATTCCCTGATTCATCAGCGATATTTTTGCGTCAGTCAAATGCCTTGTCTTCTGGAAAGATCGATTGTATTCATACATAGTTTATATTTGTGGATATTTCAATAAATTTCGCAGCTCTTCAGAAGTTGTAAAGTGACCAACATGGTTGGCAGTCACGAAAAATCAAACGACTTAAAAGAAAATTGAAAAGATTGTTTGTTTGACAAAGGTTTCACCGTGGTTACATGCTAACTGAGAGATGATATAAAAGCATCTACAACAGAGGTAGAGTTCACTGGTAGGAACAATCTGATGTCAAATAACAAGACATTTAACCCAGTGGACTCTGGATGGATAAGATCTGGGCAAACCCTGACTGGGTCTTTGTGTGGTGTTTGTCGATGTTATATTTGCCTTTATAACACCTCTTTCCACCCTGGGGTTTAAATGAGTACTGAAAAACTGTCATGGAAACCCAAAAGAAAGGTGAAGGGCTACCTTAAACCTTCACACCTTTTACATTGGTATTCATATTCTCCACACTGTCTTCTTCACATTTCCTATTGTCTTGACAAGGAGAATTTGTTTGACAATCAAGAGCTTCTTTGATTGGTCATCATTAATTTTCCTTTATTGTTATGAGCTTTACATATGATTCAAGCGTGATTCTTAAAGGAGAAATTAGAAGCCAAGACTCAAAGCTGGTCAGGTCATGCTACAGAAAGCAGTTAACCCTTTAAGATCTGATTGTGAATTCTCCCCTCTAGCTGCTACACATTTGCCTGCAAAGTAGTTATGAGAATTCAGTGTTAGATCAAATGACAACTTCTTCCTGCCAAGTTTGAGTATTCTCGTTATCTGTTTGCTGGATAATGTATGGATATTATTGGGAGAAATTGCGTATTGATCACCGCTGGGAGTTAAAAGGTTAAAGCTCAACCTGTACTAATGTATGACCAGGCTTAGATTTAACATGGAAAGACTGGAACTAAGTGGTTTTTTGTTTTTTGTTTCAATAGGTTCGTGAATATGAGCTTTCAAAGGATAACTTCTCTAAAACTGGAAACTTTGGTTTTGGAATCCAAGAACATATTGATCTTGGAATTAAATATGACCCCAGTATTGGGATTTATGGCATGGATTTCTACGTAGTGCTGGGACATCCTGGTTTCAGTGTTGCTGAACGGAAAAGGAAGCAATCCAGAATTGGCTACAAGCATCTGATATCAAAGGATGAATCCATGAAGTGGTTCCAACAGAAGGTAACACCTGGAAACCCTTATACCTTAACGTCACTATGCTTATTCTTCACTCTTTTCTCTACACATTGCCTTTGGTATTGAAAGGTGAATTTGTCAAACAATCAAGTGTCTCAGTAGTTTGTGATCATTTTCTTTATTGCCATGATTTTGTTTGATACAGAAGTGATACTGTTCAGAGAAATTAGACATCAGTCACTCTAAGAGGAGGCAGGCCCCTATTAAAACTGGCTTAAAGCTGAACTGGGCCAGCCTGCTTAACCCTTTAACTTTGAGGAGCTGAGCCAAATTGGCAACAGTTGGAAAATACTCATACAGCTGTGACTCTTATTATTACTGCTTTTCAGTGGCTGACTTTCCAAATGTGGTTTACTCTCTTTTGATAACAGACTGATACAGATTTTTATAACTAGCAGCACTCTTCAAATGACTTCTTCACTGCATTAATACATCCAAAGAACTGGACAAAATGAACAGACTGAAAATAATCAAGACTCTAATCTTGCAGTAAATGACCTCACAGCAAAACTAATCGATCAGTTTTTGCAATCACAATGTGTAATGTTTGACTGATAAACAACTTCACCTTGTCTCTGATGAGCTATTGATTATTCTAATGCACACAGTCAAAACTTAAGTGACTATCACAAATTTCAGTCCTTTTTAGGACTTCCCCTCCCCTGGACAATTTACAAGATCATTTGTTACCACCATCCCTCCCCTTTCTCGCCAGCTCTACACAGCTTATTTTGTTATACTTCTATGTTAATATTGGTTTGTTTTGTTTTGTTTTTTTAGTATGACGGTATATTGTTGCCATCAAAGAAGAAGAAGTGATGTAGTGGTTTCCTTTTTTTTTGTAAATTCTTTGCCTTCAAATCTGCCCAATTAAATGCTGGATGAATTATGTCTGTTGTTTTGATTTTTACAGAACTTGATAAGTTGATGTTCTCAAAGACAAAAGTGTAATTGTATGCCAACATACTCAATCATGTTAGGTATTGATAGAATTGTGAATTATGTTTCATTCAATCTTGAGATCAAGAGTTGGTGTATCCAAGGGTTTGCATTCATCAAGACATTAAGCATACAGGAAGTTTGAAGAGTACAAAAGATTCTTAAGAGGTGCTCAAGATATCACGAAAAGAAGCCTCTTTAGCACTCATCAAACTCCTGAAGGGCTTCACATCTGGATGAAAAAACAGTTGACACATAAACCTATTTTTTAAAACATTTTCATAAGAGGAAGTTAAAATTTTATTTGAAACAGAACTTCATCTGCTACGCTCCAATACTTACAACTCATCAGCATGCACACTGAAATAGGAAGCATAATTACAGCATTGAATATGATAGCACAAATTTACTAGCTAGGGATGAAAGGTACTGACAATACACACATTTTTGAAGACAGAACATGTAAGATTCTTATTTTTATGTCAGAAATTACATCGTGCCTGAGCAGTTGCTTGAAAAGTTCAAATGACAGATGTTTCCACTCAGCATTCAATTTATATCAATACCCTAGCTTTCAACCAGTGTTTTAGAAAGAGGAATACTTTAACTTGGATTGCAATTTAAATCTTAAAATTTGCAACACCAAATAAACAAACAAAGACGTCCAAGTAAAAGTTTGGACGGTTTATCTTTACAGACAAACTCCATTATTATACATAAGACATGCTATGAAAACTTTGATTAGTAGAGAGCATCCAGTCAATATACGATGGTGTGTGAAGTTGACATGGTAACTCATTATGATAACCCAATATCTGCTACAGATATCAAGTTCAAAGGCTGCCAAGTTTATAAGCCCCTCGCTCGTGTAGTGTTCTCAAGCTTTTGCAAACTCTGAGAGTGTCTTCTTCTGCAGATTGTTTTAAAAATGTGTAATTAAAACAATTATTAAATTCGGTGTTCGTATGATATCAAGAAGTATCAAACCTCGCGACTGTATTTTCTGCCTCAGCTTTCGGCTTCGGCAAATAACACCGACCTCGGTATTGATTATTAATGAAATGCTCAGCTCAACGAGTAATTGCTAATTGTGAGTTATCAATAGACAGCTTTTGATCGAGGAAGCCCCCATTTAAGATCACCGTTTTGCTAAAATAATCGGTGTGGCTCAGGAGTGCCAATTTAAGCCCTATGAATAAAGGTAGTAACTTTCTAAAGGAACTCTGGTGCTGCGTCGGTGAAGGGTAGAACAAGATAATTTAGTTTTATCCACAAAGTTGATAAATGTAAATTGGCCACCGTAAAAGGTTTCTAAAGCTGACGTTAGCGCTTTGTCAGAGCGAAAGACGAAACCAGATTATCTGATTTAGCCGGACCTAGTTGTACCTCATCCAGATATGTTTATAGAGAAGTCTGACCAAAGCAACAGCGTAATTCCGAGACTGATATACATATCATGATTACATTCTTGACGATCGGCGTCGTTTCTCTCCAACCATAATCAACATGAACCACCGCTCGAATTATCAAAGTTGCCAGGCTAACGAGAATCAACACGATAAGTCGATAAACCTTCGCTCCGTTCTCGCTTCCGGGTGAGTGATGCGCTAGTTCTAGAAACTCCCACGCTGCAAGCAACAGACATCCAAAAGCAAGGGTAATCATACCGACTCCAAGTCCTGTAGGTGGCCCATTGCCATAACCGTTCAAAACATTGTCTATCATATCGATGGCGTCGAATATTTGTGCAGACATTGTGACAAACAACCATTTAGATTCTCCGTGAAATTCGGTGCCTTCTTCGCCAGCAGTGTTCAAAAAGAGCAGCAAAGTAAATGGTGTGATATAAAGAACTTTGACAAAAATCGTTAGCCAAAATGGAATATCTTGCTCTGCATCTACGACCAGTAGATACGGTGTAAGTACTACGATAATGTCTACTATTAAAAGACCAGTATACCCAAACCAAGTGTAAGAGTAATAAGGCCGTTTCCCAAGTGTCCACGCTTCGCCAAATGATATCATCACGACAATATGTAGTGTAACGGTCGACAAGATCAACAAGATTCCTACTGTGAAAGTCAAGTGACCCAATACAATACAAGAGACTACATTTAAGTTGATGAAAATCAACTTTAGACACAGAAGGAGAATAAGCGCGAAGCGCCCTAACCGTACCACATCGTGTGAGAGCGCCATTCTCGTTCTATTGAACTAAGGGTCAGTTTACATGGTAAATTTTGCTATTCACCCCTGTGACACCTTTTGACGTAAACGTATTTTTAATTTTAAACTGTACAAGTTACAAGTTTAGGACAGTCTACAAATATCTTGCCATCATGCAGTCGGCAAAGCTGGTTTCCCTGACTAATGCACGGTATCGTTAACCACAAGTGCATGACGTCTCGACAAAGTCGGCGATTTTTATTCACCTTATTACGACTTTGCTCGAGGCGTACCGCTCGATAAATGAACTAAAAAATTCATACTGCGATTATTACAAGCTTGACAATTTCTTTGTTTTTTGTTTGGCACTTTCAATAATGACCGCATGAGAAATTAAACAATGCGTAAAAACATTGTCTGTTAAATCAATTTAATCAATTTTAGAATAAATAAAAAGAGATGTCAGCAGGCACTGTCGGCTTTTAATGAACTTTTTCAAAAGAAGTTGTGCGCTTCACAGAAGAGTCATTGGGTTGAAGATTGAATCCATGGCTACTAGAAAAGACGCTTGTTATAAACGGCCAGGTTGTATGTTATGATATCGATTGTTATCGATTAATCTGTAATTAGTGTTATGAGGTACTAACGGATGCCTCCCTTGACTCTAAAAGGCGTACATACATGTTCTGCGGCATGTTTTAAGGAACCTAGAATGATTATATAACTCACGTTATGCGAACAATGTAACAAAGAATCAGTTTTTGATATTCAAGAGTCACTTCATCGTATCAAACTGATTCACCTTCACTCTTAGATAACGACTTGGGGAAAATACCATACCCGTATATTTGTAAAATTGGCAGTTAAAAGAGTTTGGCTTAGCACACATGAACAACATTGTTCACAATTTGCCAAAAACAACAGTAATTGCTAAGATAATGGAACTCAGTGTTCTAAGTAGCCTTAGTAAAACTGCTTAATTTGTTTTCAAACGCGACCACCACGAACACATAGAGGTTTACTACTTAAAGGTCATATTCTGTGTAGATAAAAAGCGAAGCGTCCGATACGAAATATCAAGTTTCTATGTCAATCTTCACTGGGTCAGTATAAAGACAAAATAAGTTCGATGAACAACTGATTGTTTGGCGATTATCGAATCGCTTAGAGCTAAGTACAGATGGCCATAGTTTCGACACCCAATGTGATTGCATTTTAAGTACAGATTTTAAGTAAATTTAGGATTATCTTTGCGTAAATCATGAATCAAAAACAAAAAAAAATGTAGTTGTGATGAAAATTATTAAGAGTAAATGTCAATAAAAATCACAGATTATCGAAAAAGTCGCGGACACGGTCAAAAATCGATTTGGTTCATTTTTTGCCTGTGGGTAGTCTTATCTAGTAAACAAAAGGAAATGGGGTTAGATTTTTGAAATATGCACTTTAGCGGGAATAATTTGCTTTAACATTTCCGGGGTTAAATAGCTCAAATTTCACCAAGCGCGATCCTGAAATTACGCACTTTTCGAGCACTTGTCATGCTAACAAAAATGTAACGGAAGAACTCTTCTAGTTATAGAAATATTGAGTTGGACTTGCATTATCGAGGCAAAGTGACAGTTTTTGTGTCATGTTATTCTTGGCGGAGCTACGTCCCTATTAAGAGACGACATCTTCGGCCTTTTGAAATTAAGGCAAAGGTGGCCTAGAATAGCTTGGCAAAAATACATGTGGTAGTGTCTCAAAGTTTACAATAACACTACCAAGAAGCCTTGAAAGATAGTTCTTTACGATTTGGGTTTTATTTCTTTGGGACCTTTGACTATCAAAAGATGACCACCAGCCGAATTTCGGTTAAATTACTATGACGCCATAATGAGATGCATAATAACAAAATTAAACGCGTTGGACACAAATAACTGTTTTGGTCAGTTATGTCTTCACACTAAATGACTAGAAACATATTAAAATGTCTATAACTACACTTATCTACGGAGACAGGAGAAACAATTTTCGACTTTGCTACCCTAAGAATCACGCCATAATTCTGCATAATTCATCACACAACAGGTTAAACAGTTGAATTGCACTCAACAGGTTAAATGTGGCTCAAAGCCGTTAGTTTACGTTTACTTCTCATCCGGTGAACATGGATTCGAGTATTTGCATCCCCTCTGCGCCTTCTACACTCGCCAGTTTCGAATATACTGAAAATCGTCCAACACAAAGGTAAGAAGGTTTCACAAGCAGTGGTGGGCTCGAGTGACTGAAATCCGATATGTAGGACTCTGCTGTCACGCAACGCCTTCTTGTAAATAATACACGCACCGCTTTTATGATCAGCGGATCAGTTACTCGTAAAACGTTCAGTGCTCAGTTACTTGGAAGAGCAGGTACACTCTTGGACTAATTGTGTGAGTCGTGCGATGAATGGCTTTTTCCTCTTTTGTGGTGAAATGTCAGAAATATCCAGCCCAAGGTCGATGCACATGTCTCTTAGCCTATCCACTCTTAAAGTTGTGATTGTACGTTTTTGTACAAGTTCGCAGATGTTAACATCGAAAGATACAATCGGATGCTGAATAGCCACATCTCTCATCACATTTGCACACACTGCAGATAGATGCTTCTCAGCTTCGGCGGAGATTTCGTCCTCGTCGACGCTCTCCATATCCACTTCTGAGACTTCACTAGCTTTTGCTTCGTTATCGGCGGCTGTAACTTCTAATCGCTTCTTTCCTGAAAGACGGCTGAAGAAGCCACTAATCTGCTGCGACGTAA